AGAGAGAGCTAGAAGGCCATAGAGCTAAGAGATTCATTCACTGCCAACTCCAAAGATGACTTGGTAAATGCCTCAGTTTTCCATTTAAACCTCAAAAGGCCTCACCCTGAATAAGGACTATGCTCTAGAAATAAGAGATTTGCATTAAAACTGTGGGCAAAATCAAAATATATCTATCCAAATAAGATTTAAAGCCCAGCTTCTACAAGGTTATGGTGATCTTCCAGTAATTCAACTGCCTAGAGAACAAAATGCAACACACTTCAGATAAGGATAACACAACCCAAAGTCTCTATGACGCATCATCCACGATGTCTGATATACAATAAAAATACCAGACATGCAAAGGAACAGACAAATATGATTGAGTCAAGAGAAAAATATTCAGATTCAGTCAACAGAAAGAGGTCCACAGATAACTTTAGAAAATAGAATTAACAGAAAAGTGCTTTATAAAAAAAATGTTTAAAAATCTACAGAAAAAGGTGGCTATAGTGATTGAAACCACAGAGAATTTTAAAAATGATTTGGAATATGTATTTTTGAGACTTTTATATAAATGTATATTATATATAAATATTTTTTAAAGGAAATCTTAGAACTAAAAATATATATCTGGACTCCTGGTTTCCTGGTCTGGCACGTAAGGAACTTGGATGTCGCCACTCCCATTGACACAAAAAGAAAAACGCTGAACAAACTGAAAATCAATAACTCTTAGATCCATTAGAGAATTGAGGTCACAAGGCAAACTACTCCCCAAAATTGGAAACAGATGGGAAGACATAGAAAATCACAACTTACTGGAACAGAGATCTCTACAGGAACCAGTACCATGGCAAGAAAGTCCAAACTATAATTGAGGAATTGCTGGTGTGACTTGTTTTTGTCTTTGTTGTCTTTGGGTTTTCCAAGAGACTTCTTAAATCGGGGCTGAGATGAGCAGTTCTTTCACTTGTAAATAAAAGTGTGGACAAGTTTTGAGAGTTAAAATTCCAGGGGTGGGGATTTAAGGGGAGGGTCCAATCTTAAGCAGCCCTTACACATTTGTGAGTTTAACCTCCAGGAGCCCGAGCAGGTTCTCATAGGGAAGAATGGAGAAAAATCTCCTTGTGTTCCCAGCAGGAGAGGAAAAGTCACTATTCTGAAATATGCCTAGAGCCTTCTGTTCTTCTTTACTAGGCCTGCCCTCAAAATAAACTAAGAGTGAAACTGGCTGAGATTTTACCAGAGCCTAACTGCCTTGAAGAAAGAGAAATACCAATTCAAGCCCCATCTGGCCTTCCCTCTCTCCACATGCTACCACTGTATCAGTAGGGCTTCTGAATAAAAACAGGGAAACACAAGTGAAAGAACTGCTCATCTCAGCCCTGATTTAAGAAGTCTCTTGGAAAACCCAAAGACAACAAAGACAAAAACAAGGGCTGCTTCTGACACCTACAACTATAGCAAACAATAAACACAGACTAAACTCTAGCCAAATAAACACAGAACTTCACACTGAAAATCTACTTACCTCAGTTCCTTCTACCCAGTACAGCATGTCCAACTTTCAGCAAAAAAAAATTACAGGGCATATTTAAAGGCCAATAAAGAGAGTTTGAAGAGGCAAAAGGTCAGTATGTAATATTTAAAATAATCAAGGAAGAAATAGAAATCAAAGAATATTATTTAGAAATATGGAGAGGCATATCAGAAGAAACAGCTACAAGAGTAGAAAGGAATGCCTCTAGGAAGCTGGAATATTCCTTCATTATCCTTTTAATGTGCATGGACTCAGTAGTGACGGCCCCGCTTTCATTTCTGATGTTGAGAGAGGAAGAGTAAGGCAAGAGACTGCTAGTTTTTCCCCACAATTCTGAGAGTACTCTTTGACTTTTTTAATTAGATATATTTGTTGCTCTGATAAAAAAAAAAATAAAAATTAAACCAGAAAAAAATGTAAGAAAAATTAACGCCCTAATAGAAAACAATAAACAAGAACATTAATAGGCAATTCACAAAATACGTAGGATGAATTGACATGAAAAAATGCTTAGTTGTAAAAAATTCTCATTTACTGCGGTGTGTACCACTCTCTATAATTGATCTTCATAATGGTGATCTACGACATTCTAGACTTTTTTCTACATCATTAAGGGAAATTTAAGTTATTTTTATTATAGCATCTGCCTCCCCTACCAATCAAAATTTCTTGGAATGGCTGAAGAAAAAAAAAAAGGTGTACTTTACTAAGCTATCAATACAATGGAAAAGGAGAAATTGCCACCAGTAGTCTAGGAACTGTGAGAAATTCCTGAAAGAGAGAAAATAGGGTCTCATTTATAAAGAAATGAGTCTAGAGGGAACCTTATTCAAAATAGGAGCAAGAGAGAACTATAACACTGGAGGACGATAAGGGGATAAAAGTTGCCCGGAAGAGGCTCCAGGGACCATCATTGGGTGATTTGCAAAGGCAATGCCCTTAGAGCTGCTTGGCCAGTTTCTGATTGGGATGAGCAACAAATAACAGTGACATTGGCTCTCAGGATTTAACAGACGTTGCAGGCTCTGAGGGCTGGAAGTGCCCCAGCAGCAAATGAGCCCCTTATCTGGAAACTACCAGCAACCTTTTCTAGTATCAGAATATTGCCTTTACCCTGTAGTCACTGTCAGCAAGCTGAACCCACAAACAAGGATCCACAAAGAGGCAGAACAGAGAATCACTAAATATTTGAAAATCACCATGAAAGGAGAAATGCAATAGCAAGAACTAACACCTGAAGAAACAGTTAACAGAGCAATCAGAAAAAGACTGGGAAAAAAGTATACTAATCTCAGAAGTATTCAAAAGGCTGTTGGTGTTCATGGGAAAGGAATAAAACTAGAAATTAGAAGCAGTTCCCCTTCCTCCGTCATGACTACCTCCTGCTGCTGCTGCTTGGCTCACTGTTGAAAGAAATTCCAAACCTAAAGACACATTTAGTTAATTTGAACCATGGTTTAGGGGCCACAGAAGCAAAATCTCAAAGGATTGAGAAAATGCTCCAAGGAACAGCAGTTTTGCAGTTTATTTTATACATTAGAATCAAAGGAGGAGATGTAAAAAAGGTTACATGAAATCTATTGGTGACAGATTAAGGAGTTGGGGGGAGAGTAAAGTGGGAAAATTTCTAGGATTAGATAAAAAGTAAAATGGAGAGATACATCTTTTACATTGGTGGGTGCAGGATAGTTAATATTTCACAGTTTACATAAGTATGCAGTTAAAAGACAATGAGGAATGTTTGGGTCGTCTTGCCCTGATACTAGTGAGTGTTTATCTCTGGAGGTCTGGAGAAGAGGTTCATTCTGACATTTCAAATATGTTATTCTATGCACAAAAACGAATGAATACGGCTTGCTCAAGTAAAGATTAATCTATCATGCAGGCCTTCAGATGTGATTTCCCATTATAACCCACTCAAGAATATTTTTTACAATCCAAACATCCCATATGGTTACTTTTAGTTATTGAGTTTGTCAGCCTTGCCAAGGTAGGCCCCTTTTGTTCACAAGAACATGTTCACAGGTACAAGTAGAGTCTACTTGTAACATTTGTGTGTTTTTGTGTGTACCTGTGTTTTCAGTTCTCTTGGGTAGATACCTACAAACGGAATTGCTGGGTCATATTTAACTTTTTGAGGAATTGCCAAAAACTGTTGCATCATTTTACACTCCCATTGGGAATGTGTGAGGTTCCATTTTCTCCAGGTAACCAACTCTCATTTTTATCTTCCAGCCATCCCAGTGACTGTGAAGTAATACCTTATTGTAGTTTTGATTTGCATTTCCCTCATAACTAGTGATGCTGAGCATCTTTCAATGTGCTGATTGGCCCCTTGTGTAACTTCTTTGGAGAAACGTCTATTCAAGTCCTTCATTTTAAATTTGGGTTATTCACCTTTTTGTTGAATTGTAAGAATTCTTTGTATACTCTAGATACAAATGCTTTATCAAATAGATGATTTGCAGATATTTTCTCCCATTCTATAGGCTGTCTTCTCACTTTCCTGATAGTATCATTTGTGATACAAAATTTTTAATTGTGGTGAAATCCACTTTATTTTTTTGTCACTTGTGCTTTTGGTACATTTAAATAACCACTAATACAAGGTTAAAGACTTACTCCTATGTATTCTCCTAACAGTTTTATAGTTTTAGCTTTTACACCTGAGTCTATGATCTGAGTGGTTAGACAGATAACTTCTAATGTAGGAAAACCATGTTTTCCCCAATATTGTCATTCAACATTAGACTGCCCCAATACTTTCCTTTTCATGTACCAATTCATTAATACAAGTTCATGTTTTGACTCCCGAGATGTTAGGAGCTAGATAAATATGTAACAGGTGTAAGTATCTGTCAAATATATTTGTTGGGCAGCTACTATAAGCTTGAATAGTACTGGAGCTAAATAAGTAAAATATACTACTCGTCCTCAAGACAAGTAGTTAGTTGGAGATTCAGTCACAAGTATTTATTCAGCATCTACTCTCATTTGTGGAATGGTGGGGTAAGTACAGAGAACACTTACTCCAGCCCTGGAGAAGGAAAATTAGGTTGGCGGGAGGTGGAGAGGGGGTGAGGCTCCCTAGAGGAAGTGATGACTGAATGGGTGGATGGGTGGACCTCTGCTGGCTAAGGACGGAAGCGGGCGGGCCGACCTTCAGAGACCTGTCCTGAGAACCACAGCTGACTGCACATTTCGAGAGCGAGTAGGGCGGAGGATATAAGTTCTGGGCTGTTGAGGACCAACTGAAACAGAAAGCTTGCTTCATCCACCTTACTTAGTTGCCTAAAACATAGATCTTAATGGAGAAAATTTCAGATGCACAAATGCAGAGCTTTCCAGATAGTGTTCTATAGAACACAAGATGCTTGGGATGTTACTAAATGCCACTAGGTAAATGGGTCACAAAAGACAGTGAGTCTAATGTGGGCTCTGAGGAACACTATAGCCCGATGGGCTGAGTCTCAGAGGCACCAGAGGTAGAGCAAAGCCTCAGAACCAGGGAGCTATGGTCCTGCATTCAGTGCTGCCAGAAGGCCTGGGCCACATGGTCTGGATTTGGCCCTTTGGCAGCGGTTGAGTGATGGCCAGATGGAGTAAATGGGGGTTGAGGAGGTGGAGGCAGTTCGCATAAACCACTCCAGGAGAGGGGTAGAGAATGGCATGGCTAAAACTCCTATCTCCAGCCTGACCTCCCCTGAGCCTGAACCAGCAGCCATGCCCAAAGATGGCCATTTCCTCCTTGATGCGCTGCAGACAACTCCTGCCCCCTGCTCCTCTCCACAGCCACCTGAGCGGGCCTGTGCTTCTCCCATCTGAGCACATCCCCAACTGCACTTAGGCTTTGGCTCCCATCCCCTCAGTCCTTTCCCAACTCTGAGTGAAAGCTCTGAACAAACTTTAACCTGGATTGCTAAGACCGGATCCCCATTGCCTTCATCTAGAGGCAGCTGGCACCTCAGACACCTACTTTGCTCTTGGCTCTTCGGCAACAAGGCAGTGTGCTGCAGGCTGTTCTTCCTGCATGCGATCTGCTCTCCGTTATCACCTCCCAGGCCCCCGATCACCAGAACCCTGTACCCTCCCTGACCTTACTGTTCTTGGTTCTTTATGACTTCTGGGCTCTGCACTACAATGTCCCAGAGGACTGGGTGGTCCTGCCAGTTCTGTGTCCCCAGTTCAGCTGAGGGTGCACACAGTAGGTGGCTGTTTCATGGTTAATGGATGTGTAGGTAAAGCAGAGCATTTTTGCCTTTTAGGGTATTGGGAGTTTTTCAAGTTAAAAACAAAAAAAGCATCAGAAATGTGGACAGGAAGGTTATAGATGGGGATAAGTGAAGCCATGGATAGTGATAGTCAAGTGGGGGGACACCCTACCCCTATGGGTGGGGATGGGCTTCCATCAGAGCAAGTTATAAAGGGAGAGTCATGGGGAAATGGTGCCATTAATATCTGGTCCCAGGCCATTATTTCTCAAAGTGTGCTCATCTCTCCTCTGACTTAATGAGCCTGGTAACAAAAGCCAGTAATCTGTCAATGCTAAACCTGTAGAAACTATTAAGGTTATCATATTTCCTATTCCCATCAAACTTGACCCAAAGTGACTGCCCTGCCCAGGGAAAGGAGGACATTTAACATTCAGGCCAGGTCAGTGTGTTCCTGGTGAGATACTCACGTGGGGCTAAGTGCATAGTTCAGTTCCCAGCTGCACGTGACCCCCTGAGCTTCCAGAAGCCACAGAAAGTGCAATACGTGTTCCGGAATTGCCAGTTTTTCACATTATGGCCAACTCCGACCTGCTGAGTAGAAGGCATTCTCACAGCTTAGACCCAGCCTGGGGCCTGTGCGGGCCGAGGCCCACTCTGGGCCTCTTCCCAAACCTCTGGGGGGCTTGCTGTCTCCATCACTGCCAGTTGTCTACATCTGCCTCAGTCTGCTGCTGCTGTAAGTGAAACCACTGACCCCTGGGTGAGGGACGACAGGGCACCCAACAGCCATCTGCAGTCACCAAGTACTGGGGGACCCTCAACAGGTGACCACACTGGAGGCTGAGCCCCAGCACAAGACTCAGGAGCAAGAACAGGTTTCTTCAGATCCATGGTTGGTTACAAGTCTGGTTGGACTTTTGGTCAAAGGCCCAGAATGCCACTATTCTGAGTTTACACCAAAATAGAAAGCCCAACTTTTACCGTTTGAGAACTTAAAAAAAAAAAAAAGGCTTGGTTTAAATCACTGCTGAAACATTGTTTTCTCCAGTGAGTCATCTGTATGACGAAAGGCATGCAAGACCCATGGGGATTTTTGACAGTGAACATGTAATTGTTGTGTAGTTCGAATATTTAAGTGCTATCAGAAAGTTATTGTGTCTTTGAGCACTTGATTTTATTGAAGATACAAACAATGCTTTTGATCATCTTTGGTTGTAGACCAGAAGCTGGCAAGATGGGCCCAGCGGCCCCGCCATATCCCCTACGCAGAGGAGAGCTTGTCCTCTCGGATATGGTGGTGACATGGACCACCACTGAATGATGCACTTGCTGGCTTGGGGGCCAGAAGGGGGCCAGCAAGCGCCTGTGCTCCTAGAGGATCTTCTCTCCGCCAAAGTGGAATTCTATGGCCCATACTTGGCATCGTTGGGGGTATACAAAGGAGAATGATCCTTGCTTTGCCAAGTGTGGTGGCAAAATTTAGTTTTAAAATTAGGAATCAGAGGAGAACCATCATCTAATTTACTCAGGAATCTCTTTTAGGGTCTTTGATTCTTTGGAGCCAGAGGATGAGTTGCTGGTCTGGTATCACCTGGGAAAAGGAGACACACTACAATGCCCACCTCAAGGATAGTGAGGGCAAAAGACCAGGGCCCTCCTGGAGGAAGCACTGACTCCTTGGTTTCACGTGGCTAAATCCTGAAATAGTTAAAGAAGAGAAAGTCCCCAAGAACCATCTCACTGCAGGCCTCGCTTGAGGGAAGGAAGGAGGCCCAGTGGCTGGGCCCTGGGTTGGCCCACCCCTTGCAGCTCATGGGTCCTTTGACATTGCTCCCTTCCTGGCCAAGCCTGGACTGCATGCCCTTCTTGTTTCAGGTTCTCTTACGGATGGCTCTGAATCTGCAGGAAAATGCCCCTAAGAAGTGCGAAGGTGACTGGGCTCAGGCTCGGAGCTGGCCTCTTAGGTGCACAGGAGGGGCTGTGTAGCAATCCTGCTGGCTTGTGTGGAGACAGGTGCTGGCCTGCTTGTAGTCAGAGCTGGTGCAGCTTGCCTCGCTCTGTCAGCAGTGTCATGGCCATGGCGTAGAGGAAATAGCCCAGCACGAGCAGCAGAGCACAGGGCAGGGGCCCAATGCAGAACAAAGAGGCCACAAAGAAGGCCAACAGCAACGACAGCAGTGTCCGGTAGCTACCCAGGAAGCGTAGGCTGAGCCTGGGGCCCCGGACACGGCCAACCGAACGCCCCTGCTCCACAGGGCTCAGCAGGTGCCTGCTGGTCAGCCCAGGCTCCATGAGGTGGTAGCGACAAAAGCTGCCAAGGAAATCGGCCCGGGAACACAAGGCTGCCATCTGGCCTGCAAACTAGAGCAAAGACAGAGGCTTGTGGGAGTGGGCAGCGAGCAGGGGCCACACTGTCCACCCAGCCTCTCTGAGGTTGTAAGGAAGGGGTGTGGCCCTCCTGCCCACACTTACCCTGTGGTTGATGGTGGAGGACAGCCGGAACAGCAACCGGACTAGGCTGGCGATCTCATAGCTCCGGATGGGCTGTAGTTCTGAGTCCCCCTGGTACTCGATGTCAAACTTTCGCAGCCCGTTGATGATCTAGAAGCAGCAGGAGAGGTGAGCTCCAGGTGAAACTCAGACCCTGGGAGCAGTCCAGGGAACACACCGTTGCAAACGACTCAGTAGAGCTGTCACTGCTTATGGGGACCACCAGCTGTGCTGCCCGGAAAGCCCCAGAGAGCCAGGTGCCTCTGGGACATAAGCCTTACCTGGTAGCGGCCGAGGGGCGTAAGGATGAGTCCATCCTCACCTACGATGCAGTCTGGGAGCTGTTTCTTTCCATTCTCATCCTGAGTTGTCCCCAAGGCGAGCGTGAGCTGGGTGAGCTGGGCCTCATTGAGCTGTCAAAGAGAAACTACCTGCTTTTAGTTTCCAGGAGAAGGGAGGAGACTGGTCTTCACCCCACTGGGCCTCTAATAGTGACAATAACGGGATCCAGCCTTGACATCGAAAGCATAGGCCTGCATCTCCCACAAGATGATCCCAGGAGCCCTGAGTGGCAGGATCCACACTGGGTCCTGGTCCATGGCTGGTCCCAAGCTGGGCAAGGGGTGAGGGCCACAGGACCGAACCCTGGGGAGGAGACAGCCCCATGGCTCGTACTCGGAACATCTGGCACAGGTACTCCAGGGCCTTCTCCAGGTACTCGTCTGTCTTGCGGACACTGTCCTGTCCCATCTCATCCAGGTCATTGGCTGGGTAGGAGCTGTTTGTATCCGAGGAGTAGAAACCCAGCCACGACAGAAAGGGGCGGCCAGCTGTGCTCTCCCCACACTGGTCAGAGATGGACTTGGCGGTCTGTTTGGCCTGCGTGATGAGCTGAGCCAGGCGCAAGACCTGCAGGGCAGACAGGAGGTCAGCTGGCTCCGGTGAGGCTACCTCACAGCACTCAGCCACCATAGACCAGTGGTGGTCCTGGGGGAACCTGCCAAGGGCCAGGATGGGCAGCTTCCATGTTATGAGGATTTTTAAAGACTAAGATGCATGTTCTAAATGTGGAAAACTTCCAACATTTCTTTTATCATGTGAAAAAAATTAGACTTCACTGAACAAAAGAGAGGAAGGAGGAGTAGCATTGTCTACTCAACACCCACTCTTCCTCCTTTCTTTCCCAGAATGTGTGCACCCTCCCTGGATCACTGTTCCAGAAGCTCAGGATGGCCCTGCGGCCAGTGGAGCTCCAACTCACTCACCAGTGTCCGGACTTCTGGCCCAAACATCGGGGTGTACTTGCAGTCCTGGCCCTCCAGGCTGTAGACGTGGCTCTTCACCTTGAAGGAAGTGTCGGTGACAGCTGGTGGCCATGATGACAGGAAGCTGCCAGTGAACGTGGGAGCTGTAAAGAGTCGGTGCTGGCGGTGGGGGATGACAAGTTCGGGCTCCAGGAACAGCTGCTCACCTGTAAGGCAAGACACGAGTCTGGCTTTAGTTTTCGAAGACACAAAATACTCAGTCGCCACTGGCAGGCTTCCTGAGTGCCTCCTGAGGTTTTCAAAGGGCAGTGACTGCGCAGTGTAGGGGCCCAGGTCTTAATGCTCCAGGAGCCCCCACCAGTCTCAACGAGAAAGCCGACACTCACCAAGAGAAAGCCCAACAAAACTGGCTAAGACAAAAGCAGACAAGAGACCAAGAATTGCCCCTGATGCCACCATCACTCGTCACCAGGGAGATGCAGCTCAGAGCGCTGCTTCCCCTCCCACGGGGCACACCACAGCCCCAGCCCAGCATGCTATGTCACAGGGAAGGCGGGGTGCAGCCAGGCTCAGACCTTTACCCTGCCACTGGGCACCAGGATTCCCCACACCACCTTTTGCCAAGCCCCTCACGAGCCTGTGAAGCTCACGCAGGGTCCGTGGGTCCCTCTCTAGGTGCTGCTTCCCACTAGGTGAGGGCTCACCTTTCTGGATCATCTCAGCCAGGTTGGGTTGGGCAAAGACTTTGGCCACTCGGAACACCATGAGCGCGTTCTTGGGGCTGACCAGGTCGGTGCGCAGTGCACGGCTCAGGAAGCCCACGAAGAGCTTGGTGTACAGGAGCAGGTTCTCCTGCACAAAGGGCGCCCTGGGGACCAGGCAGTGGGTTAGGGGCCAGACCTCCCGCCGGGAGAAAGGCCACATGGGTCCTCACCCTCACTTCCACTGTATCCTCAGTCTACCCAGCCATGACCTTATGGAGGTGTCAAGAATGTCCACTGAGGGAGCCTGGGGGTGGCAAGGGAGGAGGCAGAACAGAGGTGGGAGAGACCTAGGCCCCCTGAGGACAATGAATCCTCCCCAGGATGAAGCCCTTTTTGAAAGGACCAAAACCAGGTTGGCCAGGGCACCAGAGGGATGCACAGGAGAAGGCGGCCAGAGAGGAGGGAAGCCTGGAGGGTGGCTGGGAGATGTTGGAGAGGTGTGGTGGCTGCTATGAGAGAACTGGTGAGGAAGGGTTGAAGGGTGGTTTGGGGGTGAGCGTGAACATACATATGAGTGAGGTAACAGTACAGGGACAGAAGGGTGACCGTCGTTTCCTTGGGAAACCAATCCCAGGGCCCAGGCGAGACACAGCAGGGTCAAGGAGGGGTGGCCCATTCCCACTCTAAAGGACCTCGGAGAAGCAGGTCCCCTGAAGGAGGACAGGCTGCTGGGGCTCACCATCTCTCCGACACACAGCGGGCCTGGCCGTCACTGCTCTGAGCCTGCTTCTCAGGTGCATATCTCCAGGGCTGCAGGTAGCTTAGCCACATCTCTAGGACCTGGTGAGACGTGTGCACATTGGTGGGCTGTGGGGGAAGGGCTTTGGGCCAGATCCTTGGGCCTCCTGGAGCCTGGCCGGGGAGGCAAGTCAGTGGAGCAGGGGCATATCCCTAGCTGTGGGGCTCTGCTGTGCCGGGGAAGGCAGGGGATGTCTCCAGGGTCTGGCTTCTTCCTATACTCCCCTGAGAGGGCATAAAAGGGACTCACTGCACCCCTGGGATGTTTAACCCTCTCGCCATCCCTTCAAAAGTGGGGCCAAGTGCAGCTCAGTGAAGTGTGACAGGACTGACACTCACGGCTCTGAATGATGCGTCCAGGGGCCAGTGGCCAAAGCAATGCTGCAGGAAGAGGTAGAGCTTCTGCTGGACAAACCTCGGGATGGCGGCCCTGCAGGGAAAGGGTGGGTCACCTCACAGGTGAGCCCAGTGGCTCCCATTTCAAGGGTTGATTCTGTCAGGGGGAGCACTGTGCACTCCCTAGAGGCAAGACCTCCTATTTTTAGCCCCATTCTTCAGAGGAAGAAATCAAGATTGGGAGAGGTTAGGGAACATCCCAAGGACACACGGCATGCATGTAGATGATCGAGTGTAGCTCCTGTACGCTTGTCAGCTTGGATCACCCCACTACCCCAGCCCTTCCTCTGCCTGAGGGGGAGAAGGGGGAAGCATAGAGATCGGTCTCCTGTGACAACTGAGCCACTCTGCTACACAGGCACTCCTAGCCCATTGGCTTTCTTGCCTGCCGCTGGGGAGAAAGGGACAAGAGGGAGCAGCAAGATGAGGCCTCTGCCTGGCTTGACTGGTTCTTTCCACTGGCCTGGTGGGATAGCCAGAGAAGCAGCTGGGAAGCCCCACTCACCTCTGGGACCAGGGTGGAAGCGAGGAGACAGACCCAGGAAGGGATGAGGCGATTTCCCACCTCCCTCACCCTGCAGAGGCCTCAAAAGCCTCTGCTCCCCCAGCCCACAAGCCCTGGGGAAATGTCACTGTGGGCGACACGTGTGTGGAGAACAGGAGAAAGCAGACTGGGGCACAGCAGCCCTGAACATAGCCCTGTACACACCGTTTGAATTCCTCCAGGGGACTGGTGGCGTGGGAGTGGGCGGAGGGAGAGACCTGCTCGGGCTTCAGGCTGTTGGAAAAGGCGTGCAGATGCTTGAGCAGCAGGCGCACAACCAGCACATGCTCCTCGGTGGGCGTGAATGACTCCTAAGGTTGAGAGGGGAGAAGAAATCAGGACCCAGGTCTTCGTGAATGGGAAGCCCCAGGTCTGACCACGTCCCGCCCAGGCCCATCTCTCTGCTCCAACTACAGGATGCGTGGGCTGGGCTGGGAGTGGGACCACTTAGGGCCCCACTCATGCCTGGTACTGCAGACAAGCCTAGCACTGCTAGGAGTGGTGAAGCCTATGCAGTGCACCCTGAGACAGCTGCTAAAACAGACAAGTCAGCCAAGTGCTTTACTTCCCTAAACCCTTCAAACCCATTTTTTTTTTTTTAGGCAAGGTAACCTTTAGTTGACTTCATGGATTGCAAAGACCTTGTCAGCTTACAATCCCTTATTTTTTTATGCCTATAGCACCTGGTTTTCCTAGTCTCCCATCCAAGTACTAACCAGGCTCGACCCTGCTTAGCTTCCGAGATCCGACGGGATCAGCCTTGTTCAGGGTAGCATGGCCGTAGACTCAAACCCATTTTTTGTACCTTCCATGGATGACTTGAGTCATTGCTGCCCAACCAGGTCATCAGGGGTCCTCACCTCCTGGCCAGCCAGAGAACGAGGAGCAGGGGGCAGGAAGGCCGCCATCCCACCCAGGACTTGAACTCAGAGGGTCTCTGCCTGTCTCCCAGGTATGTACAGATGGCTTCCTGGGCCTAACAGCTTCCCTTTCCCAGTTCCTCCTCCTGCACTATCCTTCCATCTGCTGTCTGTCCTAAACAAAGCCCTTTCTCCGCTGGACCTGTGGTCAGCACAACCCACAACACACAGAGTTCCCTCAATCTTGTGAGCCGACTTTTGATTCAGAGTCCTTGTTTGATCTTGGAGAAGAAAGCCTATTTGCCAGCTGTTCAGGGATAGAGTGCAGGGTGGAGCTCCCTGAGTGGCAGAGGACACATGGGAAGGCAGAACCCACTGCCCCACCACTCTGGCTGTCCAGACTGATGTATTCCTCTCTTCGCTCACCCCTAGCCCTCTGCAGCCTCAACAAACTTGTTGGAAGAGCTCTTGGCAGCCTCATCCCCACCCAGAACAGTACTGAGGCTGGTGTAGGCCACGAGTCTTGGCATACTGCCAGACCTCTCGTGGCTGAGGAAGCCAGCCCATAGCACAATCCATGCAGCTCTCCTTGTCACATAGCTCCACAGGCCCAGGCGATATGCCCCACAGGTCACTATGTCTAGGGATGGCATTTTGGGGCAGAAGGTAACTTTTTTCTGCTTATCTGTATTTTTAAGTCTTTATGCAATAAATTTGCATTGTGTTAAAGAAAAAAGCATGGCCTACTTTAATAATAATAAAACATTAGAAAGGCATCGATGCCAGGTCGTAACTCCCTGCCGCGAGTCCTCCCCTTTCTCATTCCTGGCCCCTCGCTCTTACCTGACCAACAGCCCTTCAAAGAGAATATCGGCAGGGGAACGGGGATCCCCTACCCCATCTCACCCCCATCCTTCCCAGTGTTTCTGGAGAACTAGGTTCCCTACCACAGGCCCCCAGCAATCGCAATGTACCCCCTCAGCTATCTTCCTTCTAGGTTTGTCAAGCCAAACTTTTTTCCCAACTCCCCACTCTCCTAAGCCAAAGCCCCACAGGAGTCTCGGACCACAGCTGCAGGTGCCTCCTCCACGTTTTAAAGACACTTTCCCAAAGCCCTTTCTAGGGCTCTTGGTCTTCCTGCTGTGGAGTGAATGCAGCCAGTTTCTCCAAGGATCTTGCTCTTAGCCAAGTGAGACCTCCCCAACAGAGGCTGGAGTGGCACCAAATTCTGTACTTGGATGGCCCATTCTGGACCTTCTGGAACATTCTCTTCCCTCCTGACTGCAGCTGCTGCTTCAGAGCACAAACCTCCACTGTGTGCTGTGCTCACCATCCCATCCCAGCAAAAAACAAGATTTCTCACCTTATGCTTAAATTCAAGTACAATATTGTGTGCTTCCACCAAAAGTGAAATGGACAGGCCCCTGGCTGCAAGCATCGTTCCAGGTATACCTTTCCACCATTTCTGCCCAGATTTCCTGCCTTATCTCATAAATCAGTGAATGATGAGACTCTGTGAGCTCTGAAACACCCTATAGGTCTGAAGTCCACTTTGCTGACCTCAGATCTGTCACACTGTTCATTTCTGTCTAAGCAGACCACAATTTCCATGAGGTCACAGCCCACTCTTGTCCACCTCTGGAGGAATCCACAAATCCACAAGGGGCCGGGCTTATAGAAGGCCAGGCCCCATGTTGCCCAGGGATCGACAACCTCTTCAAGTTAGGCAGCCAAGCCCAAGTTTTCCCACCCCTCTGCCTCACACATGGGCTGTCAGCAAAACTGCACCACTCACAAGCCCCAGAGCCTCCTCAGTCACTTACTGAGTACCAGGCTTGCATTACGGAGGCCACAATATTTCGCTCCCTCAAACCAGGGTCAAGTACGGAGCCCTCACAACATCTGAGAACTTGTGACACCATGGTTGGCTTGAGGCTTGACCAGGCAGATTTGGTGACCCCAGAGCCAGCCGGGATCATGTGCCTCACTCCATGCCACATGGCCACATACCCCAAACCCCAGCTAGTCCGCAAAGCTGAAGGCCAAGCCAGGCTGAAAGGCTAAGCCAGCCCCTCCCGACCCCGAGTCTTGCTCTGTGTGGAATGGGTCTTTGTATCACCCCCAGCTGGCCCTAGATATGCCCTCGCTTTACCACTGCACTGACATGAGCTCTGTGGCTTACACCACAGGGCAGGGGTGAAATGGAACAGATCAAGAGCAGCCAGTACTTGGTAGGCGTGGAGGGCCTGGAGGCTGGGTTGGGCAGGGCTGTGGAGGGCGCTGGAGACACTGAGTCGGTAGTGCAGAACCTCCAGCTGAGACAACAAAACACAGAAGCCAGACAGGGCAGAGGAAGGGGAGGGGAGGGGGAGATTGGGGAGAGAAAGAAAAAAGTGAGAGCCCAGAAGTAAGGAGAAAAACAAAAAACAAAAAAACAAAAAACAAAAGCACGTCAGTGATAATCCAAACAATCACAGCCCAGCAACCTCAGGCCAGTGAGACAAACTCAGGCCAGTCCAGACCAAACCCTTCCTGTGCTAGGCAGAGGGACAAATAGACCCTGTAGGTCAGTCAGCTGGGAGGCTCCCTCCATATTGCTGGGGCCTAAAGGCCTCTCTAGCTTCCTGAGGTTGGCCTGACTCACTTGCCTTCCAGAAGATCCTGCTTTCTCCCGAGTCAGATGGCACTGCGTGCAGTATGTATACACCAAAGGCCACCAGGAGCCCAGGTGCCTTGCTAGGACACACTGCCAGCCACCAAAACCCTAAAGGCCCAAGGCTCAGGAAAGAAACTTTTGAGGAGCCAATTCTAGCTGGAGGCCTCTCTAGAACTAGGCCTCAGAAAAGAAAAATATGTAATTTATTGGACTTCCCTGGGTTGTCCCAAAGAGAAATTTACCGGCATAATTCCTACGTGTCTCAGATCTAATCAGTGTCCCACCCTTATTGGGGCTGGTTCCCAAAGGCAGAACAGAGATGAGCACATGCTTGGCCCACCAGGCCCCACCGGACGCCCTCCACACTCCATGTTCTGGAATGATGAAAGGAGGCACAACACTCCTCGGATCTAATTCTGGGAGGACCAGCCTCTACCTCAACAGATCACTCCCCACTACCTCCAGATACACAAGGCGTTTTCATCAGTCCCAATGGCAAGAGCCCCAAGAATCTGGCCATGGTCACACACTCCCAGAGGCAGCTAGAACCCTGAGGCTGCGACAGCCTGGGACTCTGGGGATGACAGATGATCTAGCATGCTGTCAGGCCCCACCCTAGGACCCTCTGCCCTACCTGCTTGCAATATCAAGGTTGGCTGAAGCAGCCCTCCAATAGCCAAGCACAGCCCAGAGCCAGTCCCAGCACACATCCTGCCCTACAATAGCCATGCCTCCTGCCTGAACAGCATGCTTCACATAGGAGAAGTCAGAATGCACTTGCCAGACTCCAAGGAGACAAGCACAGCCAGAGCAGAGCACACGGAGCAGGGGTGAGAAGAAGCACAGCAAGGAGGCGTTGGCAATTCACAGCCTTCGTCCAGGCCAGACCCTGGACTCAGCTGCAACTCTCAGTGAGGAATCAGGACACACACCATTCTCCTGTTGGGTACCTGTCCTGGCCTGCGGGGACATAGGGCAGGCCCCACAGAAGCCTGTAGGGCTGTGGCCATTCTTACTATCCCTCCAGAAGCTACACTGAGGAAGCTGGGTAGAGTGGAGGCCAGGCCTCCAAGAAGTGAGCATGCACTCTGGACCTAGCCCAGCCATAAACACACTGGGGTACTTCCAGGAGCTATGGTTCCGGCACCCTTAAAATCAGGAATATGTGACCTTAAGGGTAAGCTAGGACTTTCAAGGATTTCTGTATGGCATGGTGTGGCGTGGGCCTGCACAAATTGTAAGGGGTCTCAGATGAAGCAGACCTCCACAGCTGTCTTTCCCAGCTTCCTACACACCTAGTTTTCTCAGGTTTTGTTTTTCTATCTCGATAGGAAGCAAAGGGTAGAACTTCCCTGGGCACCTGGTGGGTATTTCATGATGATCCCCTGACTGCCAGCCATTCTGAGCGGCTCTCACCCACCCTGTGGGCTAGCCAAGAGGAAGCAAACAGTGGGGAGAAGGGGAAGGCCCCACCGCCCTAACAGGGATCGTGACCGCCCCTTCCCTGTGTAGACTCAGAATCCTCACAGGTGACAGACAGCCCAGAAGGGCCTTTCTGGTTCGTCAATCTGCTAAAAATTAAAGTGGGCATGTTTCCACTGGCTCAGAAGACAGAACGAGCAGACAAGGAAGGCAATGCAGCAAAGTGGCCTCTGCAAGACCAAGACACATGCAAAGGAGCAAAGCAAGCCTCCTGGGACCCCACAGGGAAGCCTGGCCCCCCAACCACTGTGCACCAACCAGGACCATGCAGCTAGTCTGCTCTGGAAGCAGGAAGGACAATGCAAGCATTTTGTAATGTGAGAGGCCCAGCCCAGGATAGAGTCCCCTGTTCTCCTCCTCCCTCTCCTGTATGACACCAAAGACGGAGATCTGGAGCACACTGCACTTTAAAAGAGCAGCGGTCGGAGGGCTGCACCCCAGGCCTGACATGACAGAGCACTGGGGTCACAGAACTAGTTGTTGAGACTCTGCGGCAGGAGTAGAACCCTCACCTCTCCTCAGAATCGCAGAGCGAAAATTACAGGCCAACATTCTTCATTAAAAAAAAAAATCCATAGATCCCTAGTTATCAAGGAAGCCCACAAGAATTTTGTCTGGCAGTGACAAAAGCAAAGTCTAAGGAGCAAATTGGTATACAGCAGCTGTACACTGTAGTTTCGTGGAGTGTGAATCTAAGTGCCCTTCCTGCCTCTTATTAACTGAACCCTGATGAGTTCAGTGGGCTGTGAGCTCTGGGGACAGCAACCCCAGGCGGGTGCCAAAGTCTCAGTCACCTCCACACCTCTGCACACAGAGTATGCTGCCCAGCGAGGGAAAGGAAAAAGGCGAGGAGGAGGAGGAGACAGGCCAGGCCACATGCAGGGCATCAGACTGCACCCACCACAAAGCTTGCCAAAGCTCTGGAGGTGGTAAAGGGCAGTGTGGGCACCAGGGTAGTCGAGGATCTGCCAGGCACCCCCTCAGCAGAAAAGCAAGAGGCACTGTGATGATAGAAGGAACAGACCCAGACATGACTCCCACAGGCATCAGTGGCTCCCCTACACCCAGAGCAGGAGCACCACCATGTCATCTGTTCCTGATGCCAGGGAGCGGGGGCTCTAGAAGCAGCTCAGGAGGACCCCAGAGAGGACAGGCCTCCAGCCCTTAGGGTGCAAGCCCACCACAGAACAAAACCCACATGCTGTTCAGAATCTGAGTGAGAGGTGATGCTGGGCTTCCATTTCCCACCATCCAGCCCTTGAAAACTAACTGGCACCGAGGACAAGAAGTAGCAGGTTGGCCAGGTGCACCAGGGACAGAGAAGGAGATGGAAAGAAAAACTGTGGCAACATACCTTGGCATGAGGGGACTGCATTTTTTGGTACATCTCCAAGGAATAATGATGAAGCCACATTTCAACAAAAACCTGCAAAAGAACACCAGCTGGTCAAATGATTTAACAAGAGTGTCAAGACCATTCAGTGGAGGAAAGGACACTCTTTTCAACAAATGCTGCTGGGAAAACAAGATATCCACATGCACATGAATGAATTTGGACCCTTTAAACCGTAAGTAAAAATAACTCAAAATGGATCAAAAATCCAAATATAAGAGCTAAAACTATAAAACTCTTAGAAGAAAGCATGAGGAGAAATCTTCATGACATTGGATTTGGCAATGATTTCTTGGATATGACTCTAAAAGCACAGGCAACAAAGAAAAAAAACAGACAAACTGGACTTCTTGAAAATGAAAAACTTGTGCTTTAAAAGACACTATTGACAGAGTAAAAATGCAACCCACAGAATGGGGGTAAATATTTGTAAATCATGTATCTGATAAGGGATTACTATCCAGAATATATACAGAACACCAAAAACTCGACAACTAAAAAATGAACAACTCAATTCAAAACTTGGCAAAGAACTTAAATAGACATTTCTCCAAAGAAGGTAGACAAATAGCCAATAAGGACACGAAAAGATGCTCAACACCACTATTACGGCAATACAAATCAAAATCACAATGAGATACCACCTCATATCCATTAGAATGCTATAATAATAATAATAAAAATGAAAATAAAAAATAAAAAAAACAGAAAATAATGAGCGTTGATGAGGATGTGGAGAAATTGGAACCCTTGTGCATTGTAGATTGTAAAATGATGCAAATACTGTGGAAAACAGTATGGAAGTTCTTAAAAAAAAAATAGAACTACCATATGACCGAGCAATTTCACTTTTGGGTATATATGCCAGAAGAATCAAAAGTAGGGTCTCAAATATTTTCACACCCATGTCCAGTATTATTCACAATAGCCAAGAGATGGAGGCAACCCAAACATCTATTAATAGATGAATGAATAAATAAAATGTACTATGTATGTACAATGGAGTATTATTTAGCCGTACAAAAGGAAATTCTGATGCATGCTACAACATGAATGAGCCTTGAGGATTCATTATGGTAAATGAAGTTGGTCAGTCATAAAAAGAAAAATGCCATATGATTCCACTTATACAGGCATTAAAGCAGTAAAATTCATAGACAAAGTAGTATTGTGGTTGCCAAGGGCTGGGGGGAGGAAGAAATGAGGAATTATTATTTAATGGGTACATATTTCAGTTTTACAAGATAAAAAAGTTCTGCAAATCCATTACAACTATGTAAATAAATAAACTGTACACTTAAAAAAGGTTCAGATGGTAAATTTTATGTTATGTATATTTTACCATAATTTAAGGGGGGAAAAAAAACCACTAGCATTTCAATCCAGGAAATAACCCTCTAGTTCCGTCCTATAAGCTCATGCTTTGCTCACCTGCCCTCCTCATGGGCCAGCAGAGCCCAGAGCCCACATTAGCTGGGAGCCATCTGAAGCACCAGGCCCCTTTGTGAACAGGGAAGATGATTCCAACTGTCCCACCTCCCAGAGCTACTGTGACAATAATATGGAAGCCTCTGAAAACACAGCAACCCACATTTCAAGAATTACATACAAGGCAGGACAGAATCCCATCTTAATTACATTCCAGGCTGTCAATAAGCAACGCTAGTGATTACCAACTAAGCTCCAGAATCCTACGTCAGAACCAGATAAACCTCCCCCTCCAAGGTGTGCTCGGAAGATAGTCAAGCCTGGGAGGTGGCCAGCACTGTGCTGTGGGAGCCAGCCTAAGCCTGTGGGAGAGGCTGGAACTGTACAAGGGATGAAAATACTGCCATTGACATATAGGTTAGACTGGTGGGCAAATTTCTTCTGGTCTGTTTTCTAAACATCAGAGAAGGAAAATACTAACAATTTAGAACTACCCCCAAGTAGTCTATAGGCTTCTGCCCCATGGGGTGAAAGGTGGCTGAGCAGTTTATGTTGAAATGGAAGCAGAGAAGAGCCGCTTCAGCTCTCACCTGTAGCAGAGTTTCCGACCTCCAGATCTCGTGGGAGGCAGGGTCTGCATTCACAGATGTCTGATGAGAGATGTGTCGCTTCAGGAGGCTGGTATGGTGGAGACCATAGGAAGCAAAAGGCATAGCTGGCGTCCTGAGATACAGAAACAGACCTTTGTTAGGGGCTCCCACTGGCATAACCAGGGGCACTGTGGACATCAAAATCCACAGCTTAGAGACCAAGGACATTATTTCATGGTTTATTAAGAGACATCCTGCAGTACTTCTGGAATAAGACCAATAACCCCTTACCCGCCAAAGGCTAACTCTTCTGGGTGAGATTCGCTCTCTATAAATGTGTCCCTGCCCTAGAGGACAGCATGTGACAAATGTAGGGTGGGCCAGCAAGTACAAGAAAGAGCCTGCCTGCACCCTCCCAGGGCAGGAGCTGGGCCAGTGAAGTGGAGGAGGGGTCAAAGCAGTACAGGAAGCGCTATTAGGGCAGGAGGGTCTTCTGGGGAGAGTCAGCAAAGACGTCCCAAGTTTAACATCCACCAAAGCCCCAGTACACCTTTGGGCTGAGGCTGGCCACATACTCCCCTTCTGCATAGTTCAGTCTGCTTGGACTGGCACAAAAAGCTCTTTGTCCCAGGGCCTCTGGCTCAGGACAAGATCTAGTCCTGGAACTCACAGATTCCTACTATAACCATGTATTGCGTAAGAATGTTTTGGTCAAAGATGGACCACATATATCACATGTATTATGGTGGCCTCATTAAGATTGTTATGCAGCTGAAAAATTGCTATTGCCTAGTGATGCCATAGCACGACACTTTGCTATGTTTTAAAATAAACTTAGTGTACAGCTTACGTGTACAGTGTTTATAAAGCCAACAACATTCTAATGTCCTAGGCCTTCACTCACTCACCACTTACTCACTGACTTACCCAGAGCAACTTCCAGTCCTGCAAGCTCCATTTCGGGTAAGTGCCCTTTACACGTGTGCCATTTATTATCTTTTATACTGTATTTTTACTGTACCTCTTCTACATTTAGATACACAAATACTAGTGTGTTACAACCACCTACAGTATTCATTACAGTAACGTGCTGTATGGGTTTGTAGCCTAGGAGCAGTAGGCCCTACCATATAACCTAGGTGTGTAGTAAACATCTAGGTTTGTATAAACGCATTCTATGTTTGCACAAGGATGAAACCACCTAATAACACATTTCTCAGAACATATCTGTCATTAAGTGATAGATGATAGATGAACTGTATTCTTATTCATCCACAGGTCAACCCTTCCGTGACCTGCCTATAAGTCCTTTTTCTCCAGAACCATCAGCCCAGCACCATCAATCAGCTCTCAGCTTCGAGTCCTCCACCACCTCGCTCACCACCTTGGTGTAGGGCTTGGACGCTGCACGTGGGAAAGGCTGTTATGGACAGAACACAGCCTGTTTCCGTAGGAGAGCCATGCAGCCCCAGGATCTGACCTTTAGGGATGGCCACTGAAAACCAAACACAGATGCCCTCCTTATCCCTGCCTTCCAGTCTTTGCTAGGGCAGCTGAGGTTTGAAAATTTCAGGCATAAGAAAAACCAGGGAGCCCCAGACAAAGAGTGGCACCACTGTCTCTTGAGCAATGACCACTGACCAGGCCACTCCCTCATAGAAGGGCCAGACATGGGCCACCTCAGGCACTGGCCAAGGGCCAGGGTAGCTGGAGAGTCTTACCTGGGAGCTGGTGAGGGACTGGGCCCCCCTGGACTGGAGGATAGTGGGGGGAGCACACTGCCTTCTGTGGGCAGGAACCATGACAGGTACCTGTCCACCAGGATGAAATAGGCACAGTCTGAAGTACGAATGTGGAGGGCCCCAGGGAGTGGCTGTAAAACAAAATTTGGGTTTGTGTGTGGCTCTGGGTGCTGCCCCAGGCTGCTGACCCCAGCTGCCTACCCAAGAGGGCCCTAGGATATGGGCTGCATCCCTAAGGCTGGCCCATGAGCACTGACGGCGGTACCAGAAAAAAGCTCCCACCAAAGAGAACCTGATTAGACCCCCAGTCCTGCCCTGCATGCGAATCTCCAAGACACTTCCACCCTGCCCCCATGATGAGCAAGCACCTCCTGTAGGAAGCTCCCCTGACCGCCACTCAGAGTGCCTAGATCAGCCCATACCGCCTGTCAAGTCTGCTCACTAGTTTGTTGTCCTAGGTGGGGATGGCCTGAAGAACAAAGGCTGAAGGAGGAAGGAGGACCCAGAGAAATGAGGCAGGAAGGGAAAAGGAGAAATGAAGACAAAGAAAGACTGGCAGCTGGCTCCCAGGCTCCCAACAAGCTCCCCATGCTGTGCGAAAACAAGAGCCCTGGACCACGGCCGCTTCCCTTCACAGGTGTCTCCAATAAAGCAAACTCTGCTCAGAGGCATCCCTTCTGTACCTTTTGAGTGATGAGGCTCAAGGCGAAGAAGAACATGTAGTACTCAAACGGATCTGAAGACAGTGTCAGGGTGCACATGGCAGGGTTGTTGACCACCCCTCACCACTCAGCACTGTGCTGCCCACCCCCAGCCTCCCCACCCGCAGGGTCAGCAAAGGATACTGAGGGCAAGGTTCAGGCTGAGGCCTCCAGTAGGGGGGAACTGGACCTTGTTGTGGTACAGAGGGCTGTCAGGGAGCACACGCTCCTGGATGGATGCCTTCACAGGGCCCTGCGGAGAGAGGGAGGTGGGCTCGAGGCTAGGCTCCAGCATGGTGCCCTCCCTACATGCGGTGCAGCCCTCTGGAAAAGCTGCTGAGGACAAGACCAACACATGGACCCTGCCTGTTTGAACAGAGCTGTCCTCTGTATAGCGCTTGAGCAAAAGAGCCTTCACTTAGAATCTCTATCATTCTCATAAATACCTGCAAACAGCAAGGTCAGCAGCTGTGCACATTTCTGAGCCCAGACAGGCACTTGATGAATCCCCTCTCTCTGCTTCTCATACCCACTGAACAAGTCACCCTTTGCAGCCAGTCATATGGCCCTGCCTGCCACTCAGCAAGGAGCAAACCAAGCAGCATGGCACCTTTACCACTGGCAGAGTTAGGAATGATCTTAAAGAAAAGTAACTGTTGGAGTTCTAATTTGTGATGCCTCCTTGGCCCTGAGCAGACACAGTGGTACTCTTCTGCCCACTGTCACAGCCACTCTGAGCCCCTGCCCACCCACCACACAGTGCAGCTGCTGTTTGGGACACTCTGCCCCAAACACAGTGCTCACCACCATGGATTACTTACGGGCAGGTAGGAAACAGGAAAATCAAACTTATAGTCTTCAGCTTGAAGTTTATAAACCAATTTCATCATTGGGCCACTGAACATGAAATTAAACCAACAAAAACAGGGTAAACAAACTGCAAACCACCTTGCTTTGTTTCCTAACTTTGAGAAGTACAGTGATTTAAAAATGGGATCATCAAAGGAAACATCTAGCCCCTTGGGTGAAAAACCTACCTACCCAGGGTCTAGAAATTCCATTGCAATGCTGTACTCCACAGGGTTCACGCGTCCCTGTAAGCAGCGGAGATTCCAGCCGACGAGGATGCCATCCAAGGTGCCGAAAATGCTCTCTACCAGCCATGGGAAGATAGCGTGCAGCTCCTGAAACAGTGTGTCGGTGAGGCTTTGGGAAGCCTTGCTGAGAACCAGCTCTCACTGCCAGGTTGTGTGCCATGTGGGCTCCCACCCCAACTCCAGTGCTGCACTATAAGCTGCCCACCTTCTTCGCTGGCCCTGAGCACTGATGTTGTTACTCCTTAGTTCAGAAGCCCACAGGATCAACGCAGCACCCACAGGAACCCCGGAACAACAGTGCTAACAGGATCAGCAGCTTTGGATTCTTTCACTGTGGTTACATGGCATATCAAGCAGTACTGCTTTATATCTAAGCCAGTTATATGTCAGCCTATTTAAAAAGATTTTTTTTAAATGTTGGAAACTTCTGATTTGAAGAGAGCTTTATTAAAAAGGGTGACAATGTTCTTTCTCAGAGTGAGTCCTTGAAACTGAGACTTACTGCCATTTGGTAGTAACTCCTTGTCCAGGCGGGCTTCTTGAACTTACCTACACTTACTATCTGACATTTCTGAGTGGGATGTAAATACATATTTTCAGTATTTACATCAGAGTTTCTCAGCTTTGGCACTGTTGACATTTTAGGCTCAATACTTCTTTGTTGTGGGGGCTGTCCTGTGCATTACGGGAGTTACCAGCATGCCTGGCCTCTACCTACTTGTGCCAGTAGCAACAACCCCATGTGACAACTAAAAATGTCCCTAGACATTGCCAAGTATCCCATGGACAGAAGCGTCCATGGTCGAGAACTCCTGGTCAACATGTTCACATGTTTAAATGTGTCCATAAATGCAAAAGGCACAATGCCAGGTCAGGTCGCCATGCAGGGCAGTGCTCAGGACATGTAATAACATTTTTCAAGGAATGTGTGAGACATGGCCCAAAGAAATGCTAGCAAAGTTGTACCTTTGCTGGAAAATCCTCGATAACTTTAACCAAGTCTTGACACCGCTGTGCAAAGGGCTTATTGATAGAGTCAGATTTCAGGCTAGCCTAGAAGAAAGCAAAAAAATCATAAGCATATTTGCTTTGTAGCCTTTGACGATATTCTGGCTTGAGCCAAAATAGAAATTCAACTGATAGGCAGGAGTGAGACATACACCACTGGCCTGACTCTCTAGTACTTCATACATCAAGTCATGCATGTGTCAGTGTCCTTAAGCAGGGGTCTCAACCCCCAGGCCATGGACCAGCAGAGGTCTGGGGCCTGTTAGGAACTGGGCCACGCAGAAGGAGTTGAGTGATGGGTGAGTGAGCAAAGCCTCCTCTGTATTTGCAGCCACTCCCCAGCCCTAGCATCATCGCCTCAGTTTCACCTCAGATCTTCAGGTATTAGATTTTCATAGGAGCACCGATCCCTGGTGCCGAAAAGGTTGGGGACCGCTGGCCTAAAGGATGGTACTAGACCAGTAATTGTCCCAGGATCTCTAGACCAGTAATTGTCAGGCTTGCTTCCCAGCGCCCTTTGTAAGCAACCCCAGTTACCTCAAAGAACTGTACATTATCAGAATAAAATTGACTTCTATCTGATCCACAGGCAGGAGGTCAGCTCTATATCCAAGAGAGTCCTCTATTGTGGAGGGTTCCCCTCACAGATCACAGAGCCTCTGTATAAATGGATGAAGATCGAGGAAACACTAGTTTCAACCAAGAGGGCTTTGCCCAAGGGTATCTAAGGCCTTGTTCACTTCCAAATGAAGATGGAATCCACAAAGCCTCAGTCAGAGGCAGGCAGTCCTGGGCTGTTTAGGCCATGGGTTAGATCTGTTGGCTCTAGAGGGTGTACCAAGGAAGAATATCTTTCCAGACAAATGTTTACAAAAAGTATCTTTTGGGAACTGAAATTTGAAACTTTTAATCATTGATACCTGCCTCATGCTTAACATCTCAGTATCATGTTTAATATTTAAAGTGTAATCCTGGTTACCCCCAGCATAGTGTGTCATTCTGCTTTTCACTGATGAGAGTTGTGATTACGACACTTTTGTGTAAGGATTTACAAGATATCCTTTTCACTTGTTCCTCCCCATACCCTGGGAAGTAGGGAAAATGGCACTGGAATCATCTTGTTTTGTAGATGAGAAAACCCAAGGCCCAGAGGTTGAGTAAACCCAAGGTCCTGCAGAGGCAGAATCAAGCCTAAGGATTTCAACCCCCAGTCCAGTGTTACTTCCATCACACACCCCCAAAAACAACCACTGGAGAGCTCTTCAAGTCAGTAGAAAGAACATTCAAGTCCCTGAGCTTAGAATTATAATCACACTGACACTCACACGGGCAGTTGATATTTACCAGTAGGAAGCTGGGCTGTTGCATGTGAGGGAACGCCATAGCACGCTCTTGTGGAGAGTTGAAAATGGTCATCTTAGGAAACCACTGTGGAAAAACAAAGATGAAATCTCAAGACCTGCCAAACAAGAGAATATTGTATTGTTTCACAATGCCTTACAGAATATTTGAATAACTCAACACACCCTGCACTGCCACATCCCATGTTACAGAACTGCTGTTTTCATTCACCACATTTCATGTGGTGGTGAATCCCTGATAACATGTGGTAACACTTGTATAGCCCTTGCTATGTGTCAGGCCTGGTTCTAGGGCTCTCTACATATCTATATTTAATTCTCGGTGGTAGGTAGAATTCTAAAGATAGCCCTCCAAGATGGCTGTCCCTGGTTATTTGAACACTCATCTTGGTACTGCTGTGAAAGGATTTTGCAGATACAATTAAAGTCTCGAGTCGATGGCCCATAAGATACAGAGCAGTCCTGGCTGAGAGCCAGAACTACATTCTGATGGCAACCTGAATAAGCTTAAAAGCAGATTCTTCCTGAGAGCCTTCAGATAAGAGCAAAGCTGGTCAAATCACTATACTGTACGCCTGAAATTAATATAACCAATATAAAATTGTATACGTTATACTTAAATTAAAAAAAAAGAAAAAAAGAAAAAGAAAAGCTGGCCAACATCCTGACTACAGCCTTGTGAGAGCTTAAGCAGAGAACTCAGCTAGGCCTGCACTCCTGACTCTATGACTGTGAGATAATAAATGGGTGAAGTTTTAAGCTGCTAAATTTGTTAAGCAAGAATAAAAAATACATCCTCACAATAACCCTATAAAGTCAGTACAGATGAGGAAATGGAGGTAGAGAGAAGGCATGTCACTTGCCCTCACCCAGCTGGTAAATGGCAGAGCCAACGTTCAAATACACAGACATCCCCACAAATCTCTCACAGAGACGGGTAAATAAATCTCCTCTATTTTACTTGTGCTCTCTGAGAATGAGGGGAGGGGATGAGTAAGCTCTGTGGAAGAAGCCTCTGACCGGGCCATCAGAAAATCAGGGATAGCTCTCCAGATTTCTACCTCTTTGCCCACTCAAGTCAAAAACTAAAAATATCCAGACTTGGACTGAACAGAGAGGATGCATGCCTAGTCCCACTGATGGGCTACTAATGGCTTTCCCGGCACAGCTCTGCTCTTGACCTAAGTAAGGATACTGAGGTGGCAACTGACAACTTATGTGGATGGAGAGAGGTTGGGTGCAAGGAGTCTGTTGGCAGCTGTGGGGTTGACAGGAGATGCGCATCTCTCCCACTTAACAATAGTAACACCTCCCAGGATTTTTTCAACTCTTAATTAAACTAGCCATCAGTTTCCGTTTTAAGAAAGATTTAAAACAAATTAAACAACTCAGTCCTGAACTAAATGGTCAAGAGAACAACTGCCAAATGGTCAAAGGGCAGAGTTTTAAAGATGAGGTGAAAGCACCTCCCTGCTTAGAGGAAGACTGCAAAGGCAGGAGCTGAAAAAATGAAGCCAGAGCTGCCACACTAGGGGTCTTTCCAAGAGAAGGCTGTGTCTCCAACACTATTCTCTGACTCTGCCACGGCCAGGATCCTCCCCCCACACCCTTCTGCGCTGTGCACCAAGCGTTTGCTTCATCTCTGCACTTCAATAACCACTTTTTTCAGGAGCTGGTTCGACTCTTGTTTGGGGGTTTCTTCTGAGAGCGGCAGCCCTCAGACAACGCCGATTCTGCCAAGCAAATCACGCTACTGCCAAGGCCTCCCTCTGGCTCCTCTGAGCAGAGCATGCTCCCATTTGTTGCTCACAACTGTCCTGTGAAGTAAGCATTGGGATGCCCATACCACTGACGAGAAAACTGAGGCTCAGAAAAATCGAGCCGCACGGAGGAAGGCTCGGGCCGAGACTCATCCCCAGCTCTTTCTCCTACACGGCTTTTTGAGTTCAAGGCTCAACTTTAACTCGAAGCTCTCCTTCCTCTAACTCGTTCAACGAACGTTAACCGAGCACCCACCGGGACAGTGTGTGTGAGCCGCGAGAGAAGGTGGCATGAGGGCGCAGCCCGGGGCCTCGGCTCCCCTGCCGGCACGGCCCGGAGTGGAGACGCCGAGGCCCAACCCGGGGATCGCGGAGAAAAGGAGATGGCTTAGGCGCAGGTTCGGAGAGGCTGCCGGGACGTGGGACCGTACTGCGCGCGGCTCCCGCCACTCACCTGTGGGGTCCATAGCGTCGCTCGCGTCAGGAACTGAGACCACCACTCGGCTATCCGGCGCTGAAATGTCGTCATCAAGCTGCGCGTGGCGTCACGCCCCCCGGCCTGGCGGGAAAAGCGCCGCTATCGCGTCAGGCTTCTGTTTCAACAGGCGCGTGCGCAAAGCGAAGGGTGGTCGGGTTTATGGGGTGTGTGTGGGGGGGGGGGTTCACTACTGTGTGCGCGTGCGCAGAGGTGGCGTTTGCGCCCCTCGCGCTGGAGCTCACGCAGTGTCTAAGGCAAGGAGTGCGCGTGCGCAAAAGGAGAGGCCGTTTATTAGGGCCCTCGGGGCAGGCCCGCTATTGGGTCCGCGGGGCGCGCACCAATTACGCGCTGTGGATTGACTGCCCTTCGTCCCACAGGCATTTATTGAGCGTCCACTATATGCCAGACACTGCATCGCGTGCTGCTGCTTAAGCTAGAACGACCAATGCAGCCTAGTAGGGAAGTCTTGATCGCCCAGGAGCGGCTCTCCTTGGCCCGCCATGTATCCCCCACGCCTAACATACTGAGCCGCTCGTAAATGCGGATCGGATGGCGTACGGCTGCCCGGGAGGCCAGGCGGTGGCGCTGCAGGGAGAGGAACGGCCGGCAGAGCCAGTAGAGGACGCTGTGGGAGGGCCGGGGGGGCACGCACCTTCCCGCCAGCGGCGCAGATGGCGGCGCCGGGCACCGGGCCCGGGCCCGGGCCCGGGCCGGGGACACCCCCGGGGCTGGAGGCGGCCCTGCAGAAGCTTGCGCTGCGGCGGAAGAAGGTGCTGAGCGCCGAGGAGATGGAGCTGTACGAGCTGGCGCAGGCGGCGGGTGGCGCCATGGACCCCGACGTGTTCAAGTGAGCGGGAGTGGATGGGGGGTGCGCGCTCGTCCGACCCCCAGACACCCCTGCTCCCAGCCGCCCGCCCTTGTTGGAACCCCGTGGGGGCCCAGAGTAGAGTTGGAGTCTTGAGGGAGGTGGCCCTCCTGAGCCTGGCCCCAGGCTGGTGGCCTTTCCTGGCCTGTTCTCGCCCGAGTAGCGGGACTCATGGTCAAAGGTCTCACTGCGCACCTTGTCTGTTATCGCCAGAATCCTGGTGGACCTGCTGAAGCTGAACGTGGCGCCTCTCGCCGTCTTCCAGATGCTCAAGTCCATGTGTGCCGGGCAGAGGCTGGCGAGCGACCCCCAGGACCCTGCGGCGGTGTCTCTGCCTATATCCAGTGTACCGGAGACCCGAGGTCAGAGCTGGAGTGCTCTCTGCCCCTGTGGCCCAGGAGGTGGAGTGGCAGGGGCTGGGAGGTGGGCATTGCCCGGCCCAGCGCGCGCTAGACTCTCAGTGGCCAGAACTTTCTGTCCGTCTTCTCCCATGACCCACTGGGCCCATCCAAGTACTCTCCCCTTGGGCGCAGTCCCCAGCTTTGGCTTCGAAGCTAGACTTGAGAGAGCACCTGTAGATCAGGCAGAAGCAGAATGGGTACCCCAGCGTGGTCCAAGCAGGCTAGGCCTCATCTTGGACATTTGCTGTTCCAGCTTCTTTCCACCTCATCACTCACGCCTTCATTCCACAAACAAAGGAACAAGACTGCTTTGGTTCCTGTTCTCATGGCATATACAGTCTCCAGGGAAAGGAAGTGTTTAGGGAGTGGGCAGGCAGAGACCTTACTGCAACCCCCTTGCCTGTACCCCACTTAGGCCTAGAGCCTGCCCAGGAGTCTGGCCAGCTGAGCTTCCCTCCTTAGATTGTGGCTGGGGAGTCAGTGTGGCAGCCCTGGCTGCCCTAGACACTCAGGGTGCAGCAGCTTGAGCGGGAGAGCACCGGGCTCAGGCTTGAGGGGCCTCCTCACTCTCGAGAGTCGTGACGGGTGAACAGGTGCTGGTGATGAGGATGTTATGGCAGAGCGCCCTGTGCGTCACTCCTCCTAATGGCTGTCAGAAACCCTTTGAGATGCAGCAGAACCTCCTGGGCTGACTCCTTGGCCAGACCACTCAGGCACTCACAGACATCTTGAGAAGCAGCTGATATTGGGGTGAAGTGCAGGCCAGCCCCTGTGGGTGGGAGTGCCAGGGCCCTGGGCACTTGCACCCCCTGTCCTGAGAGGCTCTGGGACACCTCACTGACCCAAGCTCCGTCTGCTCTCTTTGTGTCTCTCTCTGACCTGCAGAGGCCTCCTTTCTCTCTGCCAAGAACTGTAGCCCCCCTGCAAGGCCCTCCTTTTCCTCGGCCCCACGGCCTGCGGCCTCTCCGGTTCTGCACCACGGCCCAGCTGCCACGCACTCGCCTCTTTCTCCAGGGCCCCCCGGTTCCCTCCGGTTCTCTTGCTGCCTGTTCTCTCCTTTTGCAGGTTGCATTTATTGGTTTATCTCTGGGGGTTGGTGCGTTCTCTTGTTTCCAAGGAAACTGCTGTGGTCACAGAAAGCCAGAGCAGCTTCAAGCTGCATGGACAGGACCCTGTGGACCATCTCTGCCACACAGCTTAGAGATCAAGGACGTGATTTCATGGTTTAAGAGACAACCTGCAGTACTTCTGGAATAAGACCAATACCCCTAACCCCCCCAAAGGCTAACTCTTCTGGGTGAGATTTGCTCTCTATAAAGGTGCCCCTGCCCTAGAGGACAGCAAGCCGAGGGGCAGGGAAGAGGCATGTGGCGTGCTATGGAGAGCAAAGCCTTGTGAGAAACACCTTGGCTTCTTGGAAGCTGTCAAATGCCCAGGTGGGCAGCCTGCAGGATAAAACCCTGATTCCACTTTCCTGTCTGTTTCTTGAGCTGGTGGTACCTTCCAGGCATTGCCAGGTGTGGTGAGGCTTGGGGCCCAGTGCCAGAGGTCTGTGAGGGCCTGAGATCCCACAGGTGCTCTTGTTTCGTCCTTCTACACACCCCTCTCCATATCCCCAACCTCACCATTCCAGAGGCCGCCTGGAGTACAGGCTAGGGAGGGGGAAGGTCAGGGTAGGGGTGGGTGGATTACAAAGCTGAGCTGAGGAATTGATGGGTGAGTTTCCAGAGGGAGGGAGAAACTGGGAACAGAGGCCTCCTCCCTTGAGAGGGTGGTACTGTTCACTCAGTGACTCCAGGTGCCAGGCCAGCTTTCAGTGCCGGGGGCATACTGGGGCTGCAAGATGAACACGCTCTTGGTCCAGTGAGGGAGATAGCTAGATAACTGACAGTGACAGAGATAGCAACTGGAACAGCAGGGGTTAAGGAGGCTGGCGGTCAGGGCCCTCTGTGCCAGCCGCAGAGTCAGCCCTGGGAGGTGGGGTGGTTAGGAGGGGGCCGAGAGAAAAGGTGAGGTAGAGATGCATGGCATGTATCTAGGCCATTGGTGGAAGCCAGGCCTGAGCTGGGGCTGGGGAGGAGAGGAGGGCAGAAGTCACGAGGTGTGCCATGGGCATGGTGCTGGGAGCACTGGCATAGAGGGATCGGGAAGATCAGAGGGGGCTCTGAGGATGATGGGGACAGGAATGCAGGGCTAGACCCCACGGGATAGTTTTCTCCTTCAGTGCTCAGGCTTTGGGTCCTACCAGGCTGGGTGACTAGCAGCCAGGACACAAGGACACAGAAGTCCTGGGCAGATGCACGGTGTGGGTAGATGGCAGCCTGGGGAGATGGTTGATGGGGAGGAGTTGGAGAGGAGCAGGGCAGATGAGGGGCCATGCCAGGAGTGTGCTGCAGCCAAGAGGCAGAGGCCACCAGACAAGACAGATAGATCTCTGAGGCCACATGTTGCAGCATCTGTTCATTCAGACCTTCCAGCCACCTCATTAATAGCTGGATATGGAGTAGAGAAAATGGAGCTGTCAGAGTGATCCAGCTGTGGGAACAGTGGTGGCCCAGGATGATGATAGGGATTTGGGGCTGTTGGAGCTAACGGCCTTAGGTTTCCCATAGACTCATTTCTGTCTCTTAGCAGAAGAAAGAGAAACAAGACCCCAAAAGCACAGAGGGGTAATGCTTGTCACAGGGAGGGGGTGGAGTCACTGAGGAAAATTTCAATTCAGTCGAGTGTTCTCTGTTGAAGTCTAGGGAAACGAAGTTTTAAAAAGATGCCCCTCTAGATTGTGTAAGGTAAAGTTTGGCGTGTGGGAGCTGTGAGCTCAGGTAGAGCTGTGCTGTCTAGTATGGGAGCCATGGCCCTGGGGCTGGTGTCCTTGAGACTCGCTGCAGCCATAAGTACACACCACAGGCCCAGATGCTGAAGAATTGGCCCAGAAAGGAATGTAACACCTCATGAATAACTTTTATATCGAGTACATGTTGAAATAACATATTGGATATTTTTGGTTAATTAAAACATTATTTAAATTAATTTTTTAGTTTTACTTTTTAAACGTGGCTACTGGAAAATTTTAAATTACACACGTGGCTTGCATCATATTTCTATTGGACAGCACTGCTCCAGAACATTCACAATAACGCTGTTTCTGAAACAACATCCTCAAGGCTGTGTCTGCTGCAGGGAGGGGTCATGGACACGTCCTTGAGGGGAGGACACCTCCCAAGAAGCATAGGCTAAGTTAAGGGTTAAAAGTGCATGTGTGCACGTCCGTGTGGCATGTAGGTCTTTGATGTTGTTTGTTTGTGTTCTGGAAGGACTGATTAAGCCCCTACTGTGTGCCCAGCCAGAGGCGGCAGCCCTACTGGCTGGCGGGTGCAGACCTTTTGGCGGCTCTCCAGCAATGGCCGGTGGCCTTGAAGACAGAGGGGTGCTCTGTGCTGCCTGCACTCCTGGAGCAGGGCTGTAGTGCTTTCTTTTCCTTCCTCGCACAGCATGTATTCACTGTACAGTCACCATAATAGCACTATGATATTGCCTTGGTGGCCCCGTTGGCCCAATCTGCCACGAGGGGGCGCCCGCACCACGAAGGAGAAAGCTCACTCTTAAGGAGCAGCAGGAAGGGATGGAAGCAGCAACTCCTACTGGGACTTTTTATAAATCCTTGTCCCTGACCAGCTCTGCAGGCAGAGCGGTCCCACCAGGTCTGGCCGGCTCCCCAGCATCAGGGACTCCCCGAGTCACAAGGCAGCAGGCTGGTGTGATTTGGGGGTTTGCTTCATTAGGCAGTCACAAAACTCTGAGCGGGCACAAACTAGTTTTGGGGGTAGGAGGAGCACTGACTTTTGAAGACAATAAGCCTGACCACTATTTTCAACATTCAGTGATTATTTGTCTTTGTTATCTGCCTCAGGAGCCGAGCACATCCCCACCCCATCTCTCCCCAGCCCGTGGTCGTTCTTGGCTCAGCCCCATTCTCCATTCCATGTGTCCAGCTCCAGAGAGTCCAGTGCTGGGTCCCCTGTGTGACTGAGCCTGAGCCAGAGCCAGCCTGGACGTAGCAGGTCTTTCCATTGTAGGCCCTGCGGACCATCCTCCTCCATCTCCACGTGTAATACGAGGAGGCCTGAAGGGATCTTCCCACTAAACCCACGTGATTCCTGAGGGTTCCACGAGTCACACAGGGCTGGATAAATGGTCTTTCATCGTTAGATGGTTTTCATAATACATTCTATGGCTCAAAGTCACATTGGTATCTGTTTTCAGGGTTTATGGTCCTTGTTAGATTTAAAGAGAAACATTATTTACCCTTTCTTCTTTCCTTGCATCTTTGAGTTTCCAGAAGGGCCCTGGTCATTACACCGAGGGGAAGGGGAAACTCACATGTGCGGCAGGCTGAAGGAAAGCTGACTTCAAAGTCGGGTCCACCTCTGAGACCCGCTCTGCCACTTACTGGTGGTGAGCTGTGCCTGGTCTGTCTTTCCAAGTCCTTTAAGAAATGCTCCTTGTCAAGAGATCGTGGGGCACCTAGGGACCCAGGTTTAGGCCAGATGCTACAGAAGACATAATTCTGCTTGGCATGACCTGGTGAGGTGCTATGGCCTCAGGAGGGCACTTGTATGTTGGGAGATGCGGGGTGGTGGAGCCCATGTACTCATAGGGATCCTTGCCCACCGACCAGTCAGTGGGGACAAGAATATTGGCATTTGTACAAAGGAAATGTAGATGACAGTTCTCTTCGTGTCTGTTTTTTGTGAGGCACTAGCAGGCTGAGTTGGCCCAGCGTCACCCCACCACAGGCTCCGGTCTGCTCTCCCTCGGCACTCGGTAACCTCTTACTATGTCTCTGTGTGATCAAGTGCATGCAGACACTTGAGTGTGAAGACCAGGAAGGTGGGAAGGCCAGGCCAGGGAAACCTAAACTGTCAGAGTTCCAGCTGTGGCATCACTGTAACCCTCCCCACC